GAACATTGTTGCCGATAGCTAACGGCCCGGTGATTTCACTGATAGATTCCAATCATGTTAAATGTGAAATCTACACTGTCAGCACAATGGTGTTACTGCTTCAATGCGAGTTTGACAACGCTGAGGCAAGAAACTCGTTCTTTTCGCGAAGTCATCTGACTTTCATGGTAACGAACCTTCCGAAACCGATTTATCGGCTTTCTCCAATCGTCGATGCTTCATATTATCCCGGTCATGTTCTTCTGCACGCCGTTTCTGTCGTATTTCATGCTCAAGCGATGGTGCCGCTGGGGCGGTCTTTTTCTCTAAAAATTTCGGTATTGTGGTTGGAATTCATGACCGTTACCAACTAAAGTTATTAAACTATTCTTCTATCAATCATTTAGGATGAATCATAAAGTTGATGNATGGACAGATGAAACGGAACGCGACAGACCGTTAGCAATGCCAGGGGGAAGTGGCAGTTCGAAATCACTGGAACTCTTATTTGCAGCCGTATTCTGAGGTATGTCTGGCTGCATAAAGTTACGTCGTTGTACTGATGATTGAGACGCTGTTTGGCCACTTGTAGATGCAGATGTGACTGAAAACAACGAATTTGCGCTTGAATTCTACACAAAATAGCAATTATCGAGCACGTCATTTCATGTCACTTATAATACAAAGTTCCATCGATATTGCATTGATCATTCGGCAACACCTCCAATTCTGAGGATGTGATACTCGAAAAATCTGCATTTTCCATACAATCTCCAGTTAAAATTCACCTCCAGCAGCCCGTTGCTTATAATCATTAAGATCGATTCGTCGTGCCGGTTCTGTTCTCGGTTCAGCTTTAACGGCTGTTGTAGTCAGCTCAGGTGCAGGTGGCGGCGGTGGTAGACTTGCAAGGGACGCAGATGGTGCTTCTAAAAATTGTGAATTATTGTGCTCAAATGTTGATGGTTTGTTGTTGGAGCACATCCATTGTTTATGTCATTGCATCAGAACCATGACGGGCCTGATCAAGGAGGTTACTTACGAGGTTGTTGCGTCTGCGAATTTCTTCGTGACTGACTCTGCGCACCTTGACCAGAGTTGGCCACAGAATTTCGCATAGCGTACTTCTTAATGTTCAGTTGTTCACCATAAGTTTTGTAGATATGCGTAAATTCTTCAGCTAACTCTGAAAAGTCCAATAATAAATCTTCAGCTCGTCAAAGTTGCGATAGAATAAGCCACGACAACTTGATGAGATTATTTTACGTCATCGTTCGTTCAGTCAATATCGGATTGCTGTTCTAAGTATATTGAGAAATACGCAGGCAGATAATGATAAACGAATGAAGATAAACATTTAGCTGACAAACCGAGTAATTTATTGAATGTCATTGATGGATCCACCGTTTCATACCACGTTGGCGAACCCGCAGGCACTTGAATCTGAAGATGACTATGTGAATGGAGCTAATAACATTTGTACGGAACATAGGCATTTGCCAACAAAAATGCATTGACGCTAGGGAGCAACGGCAGGAGATCTTATGCAATAATCATATCAAATCAACAAATTGCTCGTTTATAACAGTTTGATGGAACAAGAAGGGAATGAGGAGCGGAGAAATAAAAGTGCGAAATATCGAGTGCAGACCCACCCAAATCCAAAGAAAATAAGCCTAAGCTTGGAGTGCCGCAAAATTTTCAACGACAACGGTAAAGGTAATGTGGGTGGAGGAGCGTTAATCTATAACCGTAGCATAGTAAGTTAACGCTCGTGTATGAAAAGAACGCGAAATATTGTTGCGGTGTTTAATTCAAATACCATACACATTGTTTGAATGGGGGATCAAGTGGGCACGCCAAAAGTCGTATCATTTCACATACAACAACACACCTTTTATTTACCGTTAAGTTGGTTCTACATACAACTTTATTTACAGGGGGACGGGATGATGGTCTTTTCAGTATTGGAAGACGGAGGTGGTATATTGATGCAAAAACGCGATGTGGTTATCGATGTAAGATATCTGAGATGGGATGATATAATGAGGAGTTAGTTGTCTATGCTAACGCTGAATTGAAGCAACTTCAATTTTTTTCTGTTTCGAATACGTCAACGAACACGTTCTCTACTGCGGAGCTGAGCCTGTTCATTGCATACTTGCAAAAGCGATTTGCTATGCAACTCAAGCACTAACTTCTGCCGTCAGAAATCTACGCAAATGCTCAACGCCATCACAACGTTCCAAAAAAACGAACGAGGAAAAGAAAGCGGACTGGTTACATGCGAATACAGTTGAGGAGCATAAGTGATCATTATTGGCTACTCCCGAGCATACCTGATACGACGATCTAGGCACAGAACACACCGACAAACAGTAAAAACCATCTGGATCAACTCAGCGCACTTCCAGCATGAACGTGAGTGAGCTTATGCCCAATCCTGAGCCTGACGAGGCTGACTGGCAACCGTTTTCAAATCGCTGTCAAAATTTGCCTCCTTCCAGTTTCCCAACTTAATCTAACCAGAAATTTTACTGTACGCATAACTTAACCGAGCCAAAGTTAATTTACTGAAATTTAATCATGAACACCTAAACGTATATTTTTGACTGAATTACACTACAACCAAGCAAGTGCCACCTTATTGCGAACACTCTTCATTCGCGCATTATTTGATCAATCGACAGTTAAGTCAGAACCTAGTCATCACAATGTGCTATTCAAGTTAGTTTTAATAACTACACCAATTCTCTGGAAAACTCTCCGAGTTAAGGCACACATCATAACAGAGATATGCACCAAATTCGACTGAAATGAATTATGAACTTAAAAACGATCAAATGGAAATGTAATTTCACTGAATGCATGTACAAAAGAAGATAGGGTTCTAAAAATGTTGTAAACAACAGTAGCGATGGTTGTCATAAGCAGGGTCGGTGCGACATATTTTTTCTATGCATGCAAGAGAATTTTCAGAGCTCGTTCGAAAAAATTTGTCATCGTACTGCAACAGAGAATCTCAATTCAAGATGATTTGACTATCAATCGTCATGAATTTCAAAAAATTTCACGGTGAATCTCTGGTGAGCGCAAGGCATGTGCCTCGCACCGACCCCGATTATAAGTAGGATTATCATACAACAGTTACCTCTTCGGTTGAATAGAAACGATCTTGTGGTGTTATTCGTTTATCAGTTAGCTCCCATCTCTGTTGGATGGATGGGACGAGATGCACACATCCTCACAGCTACATATCAAAAGCTGCTGTGCCCTTCCGACATAGACACAACTCGGCTCAGTAATGAGACAGTCTATCGCGCGCGACTACGGGCACTCTAGCACGGTTCGTCCATTAATTACAATTAATACGCCTCTATCTCTAAACTTATCCAAAAACTGCTTTATTCATATCTCGAGTAGAACTATTACTCAATCAAAGAAACACCAACTGATTACTGATAACTAAACAACAGTGAGACGGCGCACATTACCGGTCCATTGAACAATTTTATGGATACCAGTAAGTGTCTTTGGATTTATACTTATCCGCTCACTTCACTATTTACATTGCTCAATCTAAATCTCAAAGTGAATGGAAACGGCCGTGCGGTGCAACCGATCAGTCAGCAGCCAATATACCCGAGAGACAGTCCATCCTTAGAGCAAACGAACTTCGCGATCTGCACCACCATTCTTAGCACATTCGCTTCATATCTGATGATATGTTCACTGGGTTATGGCTCATTTCATGTGTCTTCTCATACCAATGTAGTTCAGTTCACATTTTAGCCATCAAATAAACCTGAACTACTCTTCGAATGGTATTCTCTTGGAAACACACGAATGCTCCGAATGAGCACGAATGTGCCAGCTAGGTGTGCATCACGCTGCTCTTGTCTAGTGCTACGGGCATCATCACTACGTTGCACCACATTGTGCAACAATCCCGTTTTGTGCTCAAATAAGGACTGCTACACGTGCGTTGTGTGTTGTATCGATATAACACATCAACTTGATTTTTGTTCTGATCACCTGCAAAAAGGTTTCGTTCTTTGCATTAAACGGCCACATCAGACCGCGAAAAAATCTTGTCTGCTGATGCTGCGTCAAACAGTTTGCTGAATGAGAATTCATCCTCTAATAATATCATAAATAATGGACGGGCAATGCTCTCTTCTTTTAGACTCGCATTCCCATGAAACTGCAACAGTTATTAATCCATAGCATATCAGGTAAACCGTTTGAATATTTTGCTTAGAGGACGTCACATTTTGAACACGAAGATTTTATAACGAAGAGAAACTTGCACATTTACATTCGATTGTCTTATTGGATACTTCTGTTCGTACATTCACCTCTCTTCTCGAATGAGGAATATTTTTGAAAAATTATTCAACAAGTATATCGCATGAACGAAATATATCGATGTCAGTGAAGAATACGGATCTTCTCTGCTAGCACACGGAAAACTAAGCTTGTGCGGTCAACTTATAAACACTTTCGACAAAATTAACTAAGCGGCACAAATATATGAAAAGATAATAAGAGAGCGGCACTATAACACACTGTGAAATCAAGTGATCCGCAATATGCATGTATGTATTATAGTTCATCTTCAAATCTGACTTAGAGGACTGAATCACATAACGTCAGGAATCACATGAGCAAGAATGCACTGAATAGTTTATACCTTATGAATGTACATCCACNTTACCGAACAAAAATTCATTTAGCTTCACTGACATAATTATTCACCAATGCTACGAAAAAGATGTTGAATTTTTCACTTCCGAATGTATTCGTTAACTAAATTCGTTCCAATATGTTCCCTAGATACGATCGTGCGCTCAGCGTTGGAAACACATCGCAAAAGATGAAAATTGCGATCACTTTAAGAGTTTCCATCTTTTCAACCCAACGAACAACGAAAGCGTTCCGTTGTGTCTAATCGTAAAGAACAAACTTGAAAATGTATCCTCAATATGAGCAATCGCTATGATCATTCCAAAATTCATTAATCAACTGAAATAACCCACTTCAAATTGAGCCCAAAGGCAAGCCAGATGAATGCACACGCATGCGATTGATCGTGCCGGAAAACGAACTCCCCAATTCGTCATATGGAGCCTTAAAATGACGAGAAAAATACTAACAAAATACACAAGACAACGATACACGAACAATAAATTGTTGAGGCGAACCTCAAAAAATGAAAGTGATTAAGGCTATTCGATACATCTCTCATGCATCTGGACAAAGTTTTTGGGCTTTATTCCACATTATACACTGAGAATTTGAGAATAAAACTGTTTTATGATGATAAATTTGCCGTATGAAATTCTGAACTGTTGTAGAATTCTGACTCAACAGCGTATGTCAAAACTCACATGTCACTTGCGAACCAATACGCAATTTCAGAGATCTTTCGATTTCCTGCAATAAGACACAGTTTTATATACACAGGAAGAATTTGGTGATCAAATGATGCTCTGAATCATTAGAACGACGATTAGAACAAACGCAGAAAATGTGACTGGTCTGCACAGATTAGCATTTGAAAAAGACTGCAAAAAAGTTGAACAAACGAGATTTCCAGTAGTAATCTAACTGATGAGCATAACAAAGAGTGCATCAAAGCTGAAGAAATAAAAAGAGGACGTTGCCAATTTCAGAATGTATTAACTACGAAGGCCAATTCATTGAGATAATCAATTTGCACAGTTGGAATGTCACGAAATGCGCTTCCACTTAACAACAAAAGTCATGTAACGAGTGAATAATATTCCAGTTCTACGACTTTTCATAAACAAATATACGTAAACTTTTTCGTTTTCCCTTGACAAAACTTTTCACCAATCAACAAAATGATATAAGTATCAATCGCTATTCGCAGTCAAACAACATTTACATTTCTTTTCAACTGATGACATGTGCAAAAAAAAACATGATGAAAGGTCACAGTCAGCTGACATCACATTCTTTTGCGTAACCCGTCACAAATGCTAAAAAGACAGACGCATGCATGAGTACAGCAGCAAACAGTCAATTGTGTTGATTTAGTGCAAGAAATCATTTTCGCACAAATTTTTTCACTTCCTTCCAGTGATGCCCCAGCTCCGGAGCCAAAGACAGTTTCTTGGACTGTTTCGAAAAAATATCACGGCGACATCTAATAGCCGGAGCTAAGACCTACATGATAATTCTCTTTTCGGAGCCGGAGCGGAACAAGGCAAATTTTGCAGCTAGAACCGAAAGTTCAAAAGATGTGGAGCCGAAACAGCAGCCAATACTTCAACAATAAGAATCCAGAGCCTGAGTCAAATTTTTTATTAATTCAAGGCCCAAGCTGNGGCTGAAACCAAAAATTAAACCGCAATGGATCTTGTAAAACTTGCAAAACTTCTGGCGATGGCGTGACATGTTAAAAGTAATTATTATCCTCTACCAGCACTATTTCATCATAATTAAATACGATTGAAATATGGGATGGATCTGAACACGGGTTTAATTCGTCGAGATCGATGCATCAAGAAAATGAAACATGAATTGCCAATCGTAAACAAACACACTTACCGCGTGCGAAGTTCTGCATATGATTCAGCACGAACGTATGCGGTATATCGACCGACAAATCAAATGCTTCAAAACATCATTGTGAATTTCTTGCAAATTTACATTCTAATCTGAACATTTTCCTTTCCCTTCTCCAATTCTAACCAACTGCTCATTTGAATGCTACAACCCACTAACGAATTCTTGCAATATCAGTGCTCCAGTCGACGTTCCAGTGACTGCGCTCTACTCCTCATTTAACCGTAAAGCAGACTGTTATTTCCCCTACCAACCGTAAGTTCCCCCTCTTCTTCCAAAATGGTCTGTCACCCTGCTTAACTCTTCTCCTTCCCCTCTGAAGCCTTCGTATTCCTCTTCCGGTGATAATCACTAGGCTACAACTAGACTAAACAAACTCGAGTGCGGATGCAAAACTAAATGAATAAAACATACCGATGGTTTGCAAGATAACGTTTTCTAGAGTTACAATCAGCTGCGCTGCATCGTGATAGCGCTGAAATAATCAAAAATTGTGACTACTGAAACTATCAACCGCAGCAGAGCAACAGGGCAGCATCAATGAATCCTTCGAACGAAAGGTGACATTTATGAAACTCAGATGGATTTCATCGATTTGCATGTCATCGTTCACTGCCCATAATGAAGATGACTTACACTAGTTTCCAAGTTCGGCGTATGTGGGAACTTGATTGCCCACCACACACGTACGATGTGCTCTAATTTGCGTGGACATTCCTCCGACTTCCCAGCCAGGAAAAGACACGCAGCCGCAATGTCCTAGATTCATATCACATCTTATTTCCAGGTCTTTCATATGTCGAAATTTCAACTTCGACTCATTTCATCAAGTAATTTTTTGCTAATGAATAATCAGAAATGAACTCACCCTCGGGTCGAATTTGTAGAATGAATGAAACACGAAGAATCGATGCATATGCATCATTGCTGCACAAATACATAACTGTGATCTGCAAATTTACTAACATGACCAAATTATTACTACCAATTTCCAGTCAACTTGTTTGATTACTCATGGAATCTGTAAAATATTCTGACTGTTTACCGCATACTTCACTCAATGAATATCATTGATGATACCTCAACTTCCAAAAATTGATGGTATCCACCAACATGAAATCTTGATTATTCTGCTACAAAACTTTCCCGAGTAATAGCTTTACTCGGCAGGAAACTAAACGTTGAAGTGAATACGATAAATGCGGATCACAGGAGAGTACTAGACTACTGAAGGCAGATAACACTTACATCCGTACTCGTGAGTCGTGATTAAGGCGATCAGCCATTTGGTGAATTGTTTGTGCAGCTGCACGTCGTCGTTTCAATTCCTTAAATACTTATGACATCAAAAATGCAACTCTTTCAACAAAAATTGTATTGAATATATTGAAAGGGCAATGCTCTGGCCGCAATACTCCTCAGTACACCGCTATCATTTACGCTAGATAAATATAAGCGGAATAGTAAAAATTCAACGGTTCCTATTCAACGGTTGTTTAAGGGACAGCTTTCCTTTTCGTTTTTTCCGTTGACTCTGATAATCATACTTGGATGAAAGATGCTACATTTTATTATTTCAGAATACTTCCGATACAAACAAGATGAAAGCTGTTGATTCGTGAATTTATTTAAGTGCCAGACTATTAAGCAGCGAGTGAGAAAAATGTAATTTAAACTCACAAAAAAGAATCAAGTATCAAAAAGTCCTCAATATGATGCTGATATGAGAGGGAATATTTGCAGTGAGAGCAGAAAACAAATATAATAAGACAATTTCAAGCTCTCTATCAGATCGGTAAACGTGTTCAGAGAGAGCGTGCCAAAAGAAAATAAACTTTATGAAGATTTTAAAGGTGAAGAACGAATGACAGAGAAGCACTGCAATGGTTGAAGATAAGAAATCGCGGCCGTATTAACTACCTCTTCGGGATGCATGCCTTCCCGTATGCTGGGCGTATTCAAGAGTTGTTCTTGAGTGAATATCCACCTGGATGAGGATGGGGTTGCTAGAGCCTTTCTACTCAGGCTCATTGACGACGAAGCAGTCGTACTAGTTGCATCTGTTGCCGCCATTCTCCTTTATCTAAGCAATCACCTAAAATAAATGCAAAATACTACCAGAAACGATTTTAAGCAATAAATTATTGAAATTTTGCAGAAACGACAAAGACAAACGAAGACAGCAAAAACACCTGAATGAATGCGGCAACAAAGATACAATGGGATGCGATAAAACGTCAATTAACGCAATCGTTAGAATAATAAAATAAAATTGCTAAAATCATCGAACAAGAATACCATGAAGGAAAACATTAGAAATTATCATTTTACGATCGTTCAAAATGCATCGATCAAATGAAAGCTTTACGAATGTGAGTCAACGGAAACACAGAACAGATGACCTTGTAAGTTCTATGAGAATATAAGCACACAAAAACCTAGAGAAAAACAATGGCCGAAGTAAACTGAAGCAGGAACATACGTAAAAAAAAAGAAACTGAAAGTAAAACGCGGTCGTGACGCTTCGCAATTACTGTGCGGTGTGTTAGTGTCGATGCGGTGCGACTCTGTTTTATGCCCACAGTCGAAATCGATAAAGTTCGGTTCGCAATGTGAACTTCTTGAATTTTCGTTTAGCCCCGAAAATAGTGTGATTTGTAAGTTTTGTGACCAAAAGCATCACAGACAGACAAGGTTGGAAAAGGGTCGAGCCGTTCGCTAGACGACGGGTTCCCATTCAGTGGACTAATGTGCAAAGTATTTTCTTCTCATTTTCTTATTGTTTTCTCATCATCCGTCAACGCTGGAACGCGATAATGCAGTTGGCTTCTGGTTAGCCCAACCCACATGGTCCGCATTTTGTGCGCGCCCAGGATAATTATATCCTCGCCAAGTTCTATGCGGTCGATGACTCTACCGTGCTAGTAGTCGATCACCCAAAGCTCGTAGCTTGTCAGCAGTGCGGACGCATGTTCACCACTGACTGCATGAACCGAAACGAACTCAGTCTGGGTGAGCGACTAGAACACGGTGGTAATCGAGCGGGTGGTACATGTCAGGGGTGTGATTACCTGTCACCTTTTTGTGCGGATGACCGACAAATACGTCTGTGACAAGTCTAAACTCGGATAAAAATTATGAGGCCCGCACATGCTACTCAATGATGAGACATGCACAAATTGTGCGAGTGGCACGTTGTCGCGCACGAAATTGTCGTAGACCCGTTTTGTGCGTGAAATACATATTTATCATATCGTCATTTTACTGACTCATCTCAATCTCATTATTCACAATTGTGTCACCTGGAAATGAGTGCTCAGTTGAATATTATTCCAACTGGTATATCCT